TATAGGTCTCCAAGGTTCAGAGAGAGACCCCAAGTGGTCTCCACAGGCAGCATGCTGAGGGTATCAGCTGGCCTGGCAGTGACCTTGGACAAGACCCTGAACTGCTCTGAGCTCAAGGTCACATTGTGATGGAGATGATCCCTGCCCTGATTATGTCACAGGGGTTCTTTTGCTTTGGGATATCTCATGATGATCTTTTGGGATGTAATTCACATCCCCTTATGACTAAACCCTTGGCTCCCTAAGTGGGGTAAAGCTCCCTCCAAGGTGCCTGAACAAAACTCTGTGATAGCGTTTGTCATGGCAGGTAATTCATTCCTGTGTCTGCCCTGAGCTCACCATGCTTTCTTGGCCATTGCAGGTGGATGGCCAAACCGAAGAGAACGACATGAACAAACGGAGGCGGAAAGGCTTCAATAACCTGGAAGAGGTTTGTGTGCAGCGTCAATTTAAACAAAGGCCCATTTTCTGACCACCAGTGGCCACGGGCTCACCTGACTATGACAGCAGCCCAGGCCCTCTGTCCTTCCCTCTCTTGTGAACCACAGGCTTCCAAGGTTGACTTGATGGAAACAGTTGAGGGCCTGACCCCCACTTCACCACTTACTAGCTATGTAACCTTGAGAAATGTAACTTCCCAGGGTGTGGTTCATGTCTATAAAATGCAATGATACATTTGAAATGTATAACATTTTGCAGGACTTTTAATGATTAGTAAGATGATGTATATAACATATAAAACATGGTATCTGACATATGTGTTAATCAATATGTAATCATTAGTAATAATAAGTAGTAAAGAGGCACCAACGCTCTCACTTTTTACCCAGACATTGTACTCTTACATTTTCTGTGCTTTTGGTCTTTAAGGTAAATGTTCTGGTGCCCACAAGTGCCACCTTCTGGTAAAGAAGAAAATTGCAGGGTACTCCGTCAAAGGAGAGCACTAATCTCTCACCTGCTTTTGAAAAATTGATCAGCAGTTATCAGTTCCTGCTTCCTCGGGTCTTTAAAGAGATCTGAAATTTACAATTCATCCAAAAAATCCATTATAATTCCACAAAA